GGTGGATGAAAAACAACTGACCGCGGTTTCAAGTGCCACGTCTGGAAATCAAACAGGCGGGCTACCTGTAGATGATTGCAAGTCCTGTGTGTTAGTGCTAACTATTAGACGATGGGAGCATCCCACGCTTGTGTAGTGTGCTCTTTGTGTGTTTGGGTAATTATTTAAGTTACATTCAGTTCCGAATGGCCAACGCATATACATACAAATGCCATGAACCCAAAACCTAACTACTGTACTTGAGTTGACATCCATTTGTGACAAATAAAATTTGCAACTTATTACCATACATTGGTGAAGCTGAACGTGTATATTCCCAATCCAGTACCGTCAGTGAAACATACAAGGCAAGTATTGGACAACTAAAAAGAGCCAAGCAGTCGATGAGAATGATGGTACCAAGAAACATTTTTATTCAGAAAACATAATAAATCATGAATGAGCTATGCTAAGCTAAAGGTGTCAACATAACATATTGTTGTGGGCCACTGAGAGGTTGGTGATTTTTTCAAAGGTTTTTGATCTATCTGATCTATACGCTCATGATCCCAGCGCACTGTATTAATCTATGGGCTTAGAAAGCATTAACATGCAAAGGCTGTTTTTTTGTTTTTTCGAGTGACAAATTATGCATATTTAACATAACAACGCGACTGAGTCATATACAGCATAAACACGAAACTAGTTTTTATCAGTACAGGCATACAGGATGGTTTGTATATATTCATGTAACTGTGTATAGTTCCTGTAGAACCAGTTCAGCGAGTTAAGTTGTTTTAATAAGGTCAACTCACTCTGACAGCACAACAAAGCTTCACCCACGTATGTTATTGACGCAGTACTTTTTATCCTGGACGGTATACTGTACTGCAAACACTGATTTATAGTTGACCTGTTCATTGTACACACCTACCATGGATTGAACAGACTGACATCCAATTACGCAAATAGTTAAATAGAATTACTGTGCTGTCACAATGGCATTGTGATGCACAGGCATAATTGCAGGCTTTTTAAAGACAAATGGTGATCACCTATGGATTATCAGTATTTCCCAATCGGTTTATCTGGAAGAAAAAAAGCTTTTAACATATAATTACGGTGCCGCCTACGTTTGCATCCCACAAAGCAGTAATATTAGACTTAATGAGCACGTACTTATTATATACCTTGCATTTTTTGAAATTATATATACCAATATGTCGTGGGAGAACTTGGTCACAAAGCCATCGTTGTCAATGTTTAAGCTGCAGGCCCACTCTTCGAAAACACGTGGATGCACACACATCTGAACATAGCCTCCCGATTAGATGTTAGACATTCAATGTAAGGAGCTATTGTTATTCCGTAAACAGTATGCATTTTATAAGCAGAAGCCCATTTGCTGCGTCTCCACATAAGTTTAAAACATCTGTGGGTCCATTGGCCTATTGGTTTTGCAGACCAATGTAAGAAAGACGAGATTAACCCATGACACTTACCCTCTACAGTACTGGTTGATTAATGTGTAACGCCACTATTCGTAAAAAAAACCAAAAGATGCATTATTGTATGAAATAAACATTATACCTCTATTTTGATGGATGTATTGAATTGGCCTGTGTTAGTGCTTCTCTTGCCCGATGACAGGCACACAATCTAGCACTCGGACAACACTCCATTCACAAACATTATGGCAGCAAAAATCTAAGCTTTTAAAAACACAAACCAACAACTGTCACTGCTGCTCAGAGATTCACGTTAACTTTTCCAAGACACGTTTTCTGAATAACAATATAAGTGATTGCCATATCTACGCTTTCTGAGATAGTTAAAACATTTTGCGAACGACATTTTTGTAGTGTCATATTAGTTGAGCATATTGAGGAATTTTATTTAATATACAAACACTACCCATACCAACCGCATACAACACACATGCATCCTTCAGTGTAAGATAATAGTTAATATAATAGTTAATATACTTTTGATTTAAAGCTTTCGTGACTGCAGGGATTCATATTCTTGGTTCTTTCGGTAAAGTCACGTAGAAGGGAAATAATACAATATTAAACAATAAAATTATCACGACGTTTCGACTGCAACACAAGCAATCATCATCAGGTGTGAAATTCACAACAAGAATAGTTAATATACTGTAAATGCTCTGGCTTTGATACCTTTTAAAATAACTGAAAATGTAACTTGTATGACAAAAAAAATTCCGAATCCTATGAGATGCCAATATATTTGCAAATGATTTTATTCTCCTTGTCATTAAATGCATTCATATACACTACATCCGTACTGAAATGCAATACGATCAAGCATGCGGCCAGACAGTTCAAATGCAGGTAGTCCCCGAGTTACGATGGTCCGACTTATGATATTTTCGACTTACGATGGGGTCGTCGTAACGCAAGCAAGTAGAGGACTACCTGTACTGCAGGTCATTCAAATCATGAACGACACTATTCAGGATGTGACATGGCCACGAATTAATAAAATATTTGCTAACGTGGCATACAACTACTTCGTGGTCTAACCCAGACAACAAGGCGATGGAGCCTCCTCAACAGGTTGTGATCGTATTACACACACTCACGTTGCATGTGATATGAATACAAGCACCTCGTGATGTAAAAACAATCTCTAGATCTAGTTTAGTCTCTCATACATTGAGACGTTCAGAACATTTTAATTTCACTCAGATTTCTACAAACGACTTTTGAGATACGGCACTGCATTTTTGTGCCGTGACAATTGTTTATTTTTTTTACCCAGGTCTCCTTTGCTAAAGAATAAACTAGCAGCCCGCACGCAGGGTCGGAGTTCGCTTGGGAGACCGGTTTCGAATAACCGGTTTCCAAAAAACACGATAAAAAAACCGGTATCCAAAAAACGGCCAGGGTCAGCCAGCCAAAACACATTGAATTGTAAATAGAGTACTATACTTACATAACGACCAAAGACTCACATAGATACCCATACACCCAGACTTAAAACAAAGAGCCCATTGCCTCTGGTTGTCTATATAAAACAGATTCTCACTGTTTCTGCACAGCACCTTGTAATGTGTGGCTCCCTACGCACATAAAAAGGATCTCTGTTCAAGTCAATGGGCATTGAGATACCACTACAATATAAGTAAATACAAACTGATGATCATAAAAGAACCACGAGGGATTACATTTCACGTAAAACATATAGCGAGCATTGTGCGACACTGTATCCGTGATTACGAAGAGTATGAAGCATATCAAAATTCACTTCTGCAGTGATGAAATCCTATCTAGCCTGACCAGCAATGAAGGCATGTGGTTCTTACACAACACAGCATCCCGGGGTTCAAACCCGCACACGAGGATGTGGCAATGGATATAGGTAATCAACAGTGCATGTTTTGAAATCCACACCCCCGTAACTTACACACGTATGAATAATAATGCCCATTTAATAACGAAATGATTCTTTTTCTGGATAACCCTGCATCGAGATTATTGGCCAATTGTATTTCTTGAGTGGCTTCATTTTGTCGAAAGTACAACTCCACTGCTGGATGAGGACCTCCCGATTCCTTGAGGGTCATTCGAGTTATTTGGCCAAATTTCACCCCGTTGGTCAGTGCAACCTGGCAATGTAGCACACGGGCATGGGAGAGCATGGTAGCAACCGTACAATGGTGTGGAAAGCAAACAAAACTGGAGTTCCCAGATAAAACACAGCACGCATATGAGAACGTGTCCACTCAGCATCACCATCTCCTGAACGAGTCTCAAACCCTACGTCTACAACACGTGACAAGCCCCCAATGGTCACCATCCAAGGCGCTATCCGGGCTCAGCCATGCGTAAAAGACACCGAGATCCGACGGACTATGTCACATTTAATATTTTGGCTGTTGCCCAACTTAAAACGTTTTATTAATTTCCATCGACGTGCAATGCTAATTTTTGTTTCACTTATAGTGCTGTATTGATGGTATACCCTAGCTATACAGTGTACTATCGAGAGGTTATACTGATACACACAATAGTGGATTCACAAAAAAGGATGTACATTACGTTACTGTAGATGTATTACTTGGGATCACTGACATTCAAACCCCATACCAAAGGGTCATAATTCACATTCTGTGCTCTTGTGCGCAAGCTAACAGACACACACACACACCACAGATGTGTCAACACAATGAAACCAGAAGAAAAAAAACCACAGCAACAAACATTTCACAATGAAAGCCAACGTGAACATTTGTTTACAACACAAAGCGTGTCAGATTTAAATATTTCCATACGTACACTGCCCTACGGGGAGGTCTCTTTACAAAGAGGGATGTTGGTGGAGTTTTTTTGTGTACACAAATGTGGATGAAATAATTCCATAGACGAGTAGCAGCAGCAGCAGCGGGCGGCCTCGTAGAGGAATGAAGAGACACGGTGTAATTGAAGCCACACCACCACCAGCAGCAGCAGCAGCTGTCCCCAAATCGACAACACGCTGACAGTGAAACACTGTACCAGTCGAACAGAATTGCAGCCATCCCACCATTGCCCCAAATAGACGTGAATATCTCCTCCCAACCAAAGCCTCGTCGGCGAAGGAGATTGCCTTTATCATACTTCACCACGCTGGGCTGGACGGCGAATAGGGTGGGTGTGGGGTGGGAGACGATGAAGGCGGGACAGGGGTTCAGATATAACTCGCCACCGATGTGGGACATCGCCGAGATTCCAACTCGGCGCTGCCAGTTTCATAGCAAACAGCGGCGCTAACCGATGTCCCACCGCTCGTAATACCGTCACAAACACATTTACCAATTGTATACCCCATCTCGCTATCAACCATGGTCAATTCCACTGCTGGATGAAGCCAACCCCAAGCAAGCCACCGCCAGCCAGCCCTCACGATTCCACCCAACGAGGACCTTGACAAACGAGATGATCCCACGGCTCCATCTCCCGCGCACGCACACACACAACTCGCAGTATTCTCAATAACCTTCAACAATCACACGGTACCTGGCTCGCTTTGTAGAACTGCTTCTTGAAGCCTGCCACAGACATGTTTTATTTGTGTGTGTGTGTCTGTAGTAGCGATGACACAACGACGACGCGAGTGGGATTGCCGCGCAAAGGCGAAGAGCGAGCTCGGTGTGGACGTGTGGACGCCTATGCGCATCGACTGTAGCAATTCTAACGCCGTCGGCGCGGCTGGGGGGGGGATACACTCTGACTGCAGGCCGCACGTGACCGGACGTGCTTTGTAATTCCTAGTCCGGATGCACAGCAGCACTCGGGGTGGGGTGGGGTGGGGTGGGGGGGTTGGGGGCGCGGGTCGCGCGCGGATTGGTCCATGTCGCGGTCACGTGATGCGTCTGTCGGAAATGGAACTCGGGGTGGGGGGAGGTTGGGACGAGGGACACCCAGCAATGCGCATGCGCGCCGAGTGCTGCTGCAGTGCCACCTGGTTCCCCCTCGGCGCCGCCCCCCCCGTCAAGTGAGAAACCCCGCCCCTCTGTCCTCAGGCCCCACCGCGATTTAGACCCGTCCATCACGGACAAGTCACGCCCATATTGGGATGTGGCCCCGCCCATTAATTCCTTGGCCCCGCCTAGTTTATATTTTATTCTGAACTGTAGTGTGACACATTTTGCCACGTGGTGGTTTTAAAAGTATTTACTGTGGGGCTGATCTTTGAGGTCAATAATGAATCACTGAGTGGATGCTTAAATGTGTTTATTTTTCTGAAAGTCACTGCAACAGGGTCACCTCTAATGCTATGTACCAGCAACTATTTATAATTTGACATTTAGAATTTGTATCAGCACCAATAGTGTAAAGGGCAGTGTGCAACTCATGCACCCTGTCTCTCTGTATGTTGAACTTCTTTCGCATCGTACGTAGCCAGCCGTGCTTATTGAAGGTGTAGCATGAAGAAGGGTAATTGCCTGAAACGTTGCCTATTTTGTCTGTTTTTATTGATGAATGTGTTGAGGCAACTGTAGGTCAATTGACTTAAATTGGGGATTACTTCAGCTGAAGTTAGCGGGCTGAGCTTTGGAAAATATTTCCCCTCATTGTTGCAGGGATGGTGGCGTTGGGTGGTCCTGGGAAAATTCCATGATAAATTGAGCTCTGGAATAAAATGTTAAATTATAATACTGTGCTTTTAACCCGATTAACCGTTCATTTAACAAATTAAGTCAATGACTTTCTGAATTGCTGCAATGTTTTATATGGGTTACGATAGGGTTCATGGATGATTGAAACATTGCATTACATTTGAGATCATCACTTGCTGATGAGATCATCAGCTGCTGATGAGTCGGTAAAAATTTGCAACGAGAATTCTAATAGTCTCATGGTATCCAGTCTCATTGGTTTCATCTCATCATTGAATTACGAGGCCACGTTTTGAATGCGACATCAACAAAACCCTAACTGGGCCACATCCAACCCAAAAAAGCAATACCCATTGACAATAATGGTTAAATAGGCCATGGCTTACTGATGGCTCATGAAAGTGAAAGTGACATAACCCCTGCCAATAACTTTGCGAAAGCGATTGACGTAGGTGTGAAGCCACAATTTCAATGCTGAATGTTGGAATCTGTCCAAAACTTGGCTTGTTGACCAAATGCTACTGTGCATTCATCTGGAAAGCAGATAGGCCAATGGATTAAATGGTAACCTCCCAACATATGTTTTGTACAAACAACAGCAGAAAAGTACAGCAGTTGATTTACTTGGATGTCGATGTACTTTATTTGAACCAGGCATTAAGTTTTTCATGAAGCCAAATTATTCAAAGCATAGTAGTGGCAGTTTTTGCTTGAAATAAAATATCGTAGGACTGTTTATTTATTGAGATGGGGATTGAGAAAATGCACGAGCGAACGGATGCATTTCTAATGCTGACTGTTAGCAGGAAATTGCTGCCAAAGTCACTTTCCACCAACATCCAAAAATAATAGAGCTTCATGCAGTGGGGCTTTCAGAGGAAACCCTTTCGAATACTGACATTTTAGTCACCGATGCCATCAGTTGGCAGCGTCCCAGTACTGCATATACTTGGAAAATGTACCGTAAGTTCTGGGATGTGTTTTCGGGTTGTACCGCATGTTCTGAATTGAATTACCATACCGTAGCAATGGAAATTTCACCTAAGCGCCTCGGTACATTTTTTGGCTCGGGGTATGTCTAAAATATTTGACTGATTTAATATATATTAAGATTATTTTCGGATGTGGGAAAATCCAAATGAATGAGAAAAAACCCCGAAAAGAGAAGGCTGTTAAGTTGCAATGAGAACCAGGTTTCGAGGCCAGCCAAGGCAGATTTACCTTGTAACCCGGGTTCACCAATTGCATCTTGGTTCAAAGTGAGAGATCTCCATGCAGTGGGAGAGACCAGAACACCAGAGGGACAAACATAAACAAATACTGCACAGGGAAACTTTCGTTCTTCAGAGCAAAGATAACAGTCAGAGAGACTGCACTTTGTGCCCTCAGGGTCTTACACCATTTTAAAGATACTTTACATATTATATATACAGTATGTTCAAAATTGTATTATTGTTATGATGAAGAATTCACAATATAGTTTTTTTGAGTTAGATCGCGTAAACCCCCAAAAAACTCTATTATGGATGATATTGGTCGCGAAAGCCTACGTGTTAAATGATTTAGAGTTATTATGTATTTCTCACATGATTGCGATGGATAGATATCTGGATTATAAGACGCACTTACCTCCCCCCCCCCCCCCCGTATTTTAAAGCAAACTTTGGCAGTGCATCTCATCATCTGGTTACCAGATTTGTATAACTTTAATAACACTGTGTGCCAATTTGGGGTGCATTTTACTTTCCAGAGCATCTTATAATATGAATAATATGGTACGAATTCGTTAGTTTGTCCTGGTGAGGGTCGCGGCGGCAGCATGTTGAGTAGGGCTGTCCAGACCTCCCTTTCCCTGGCGACCGACTATAGCACTACATAACTATACACTTCTATATAATATTATACACTACTTTGCACAATTATACACTACTATACACTACTCTAGCTCTTCCTGGGGAATTCCCAGGTGTTCCCAGGCCAGCAGCGTGTCCTGGGCCCGCCCCGGGGTCTTCGCCCAGTGGGACGGTAGAGTTCCAGGGGGAGTCTACCGGAGGGCATCCTTGCCAGGTGCCCGAAGCACCTCAACTGGCTCCTCTCGATCTGGAAGAGCAGCGGCTCGACTCTAACGCTCTCCCGGATTACCGAACTCCTCGCCCGATCACGGAGAGTGAGCCCAGCAACCCTGCGGGAGAAACCTCATTTAGACCCCTTGTACCTGCAATCTCTTCCTTTTGGTCATTACCCAAAGCTCATGACCATAGGTGAGGGTGGGAATGTAGACCGTCCTGTCAACGGCGAGCTTTGTTTGAGAACTCAGCTCCCGCTTCACGACCACGGAACGGTAGTGAAGCCGCACCGATCCGCCGGCCGATTTCCCGCTCCCACTTACAATCACTCGCGAAAGTGACTCCAAGGTACAACTCCGGTAAGGGCAGCTGTTAATCCCCTCACCTGGAGAGAACAATCCACCGTCTCCCGGGAGTGAACCATGACCTCAGATTTGGAGGTGCTGATCTTCATCCCAGCCGCTTCACACTCGGCATCAAACCGTTCGAGCGGAGTGGAGACAAGACGCACCCTTGGCGGAGTTTAAAATATGTGCTGTTGATGAATGTGCTGATTTTGTCTGTTTGTCCTTAAGCACCACTGCCAACGCAGTCCCTCAACGTTTTGTTTCGCTTTAGGGGCAGCTTTACATGTGAGATGTAATTCATGTATTGACAAAAGCCATTCATCCCACCATGATTTGGCAGAATGATGGGAGTGTTTGAGAAAAATATCTGTGGAAATAATCCCAATAATTCATCCAAATGCCTTGAGCCACTTGTAAAACACATTCTAATGCAGTTTGCATTCCTCGGGGCATAATGATCCACGCTTATGGGACTAGGACAGAAACGAGGCAAGGCCAGAGATAAATGATGACTGTCCCCTCAAATCGCTGTAATTTCCCAAAAAAAAAATTCAGACAAATACCGTTTACTGTATACTCCAAAATTAAAGATGCACTTCATTCCCCTGTACTTTGAAGCAATAGTTGGGGGTGCATCTTATATTCTAATACATTTGTGTGTGTGTGTGTATGACCAGACTTGTATAAAAATTGACACCGGGCTCAAATGTGCGGTCCTTTTAACTTTCTGGAGAATTTGATCATTTTAACAATATGGTGATGTTATTACACTTCATCATGGGACCTCCTTTGCCAGTGAAGTATGGGAATTGACGGCAGGAACTTCTTGACGGGTAACACACTTTTATTAAATCCTTTAGGTATCACAATACAACGTGTGGTCTCTCTTCTTCCTCCGACACACTCCACTAATCTCGTGTAAGCTCTAGGCCTCTGGCTACACCCGATACACTTGACTCGTGTAGACCCTATGCCTCTGGCTACACACAATATACTCGACTCGTGTAAGCCCTATGCCTCTGGCTACACAATACACTCGACTCGTGTAAGCCCTATGCCTCTGGCTACACAATACACTCGACTCGTGTAAGCCCTATGCCCTGGCTACACATAGTACATTCGGCTCGTGTAGACCTATGGCTACACCCACTACACTCGCCTCTGGGTTACACAGAGTCCCGGTCCCCTTAGGACAGCGGGGCTAGGTACCGCAGGGCTCTAGGTCTTCATCCCCGTCTTCCTTCTTCGCTGGTTACACACTGCCCTTACGCCTGTGTGCATCCCCTTTTATAGCCCCTGCTCACGAGGGACGGAGCTGATGCGGCGTCGACGTGAGCGTCGTTCCTTAATGACCCAATCACGACGCACTCTCTCTACGATCCGCTTTCCCCAGCGCGTGTTAACATTACTCCACCAATCACACTGCGCTGCCACCTGATCACTCCCTCTCAGCGCGTCACCGCCCACAGCCAATCAGTACCCCGTAACCCACGACCCCGCGCTGACCCCTGATCCTCCACCGTCAGCGCGCGTCACCACCTACACAGCCAATCATCACGCACTGTGCCTACGATCCTTAATCCCAGCGCGTATCACCTCTACATCACCCCCTCCCACATAGCTTGCAGCCGGCCCGGCTGTTAACCTACAACACAACATAACGCA